ATACTTCTGAACAAATGAATCTTTTCAAATCTTAGATAATTAATTTATCATTTGCAGTAATATTAGATATCAATATTGTAAAAAAATATGCAGTAACCTAACTTATCCTAACAAACTTAATACTTGTATGAAAACACTAATGTCCTAATAAAGTAAGATACTCCACTAAAAATATAAAAAGTAAGGTGTATCAAAATCTGATACCTCCTGAACCTCCAGATATTTACTTGCTATTTAACAGACATATTGAAATTTTGGTAAAATATCTAATAACCTAACCTATCTTAACCCATCTGATATGTCCGTAAAAGCATCGATTTAAATTATCGATTAAAACAACATATTCGACTAAAGTACAAAATGAGCAACGTCAATGTTAAACACCTAAATGCGAAAATAAAAATATTCAGATATAAATAACTATTTCATTTTGATCAACGAGCAAAGTGCAACATGATTCTCCTTAAAAAACGTAAAAGAAAAGATCACAGCGAGAGAGGACATCCAATATTCTTATCAACAGGATGCTATCAAGAACCACCATTCTTTCCCCATACTTCTCGATATTTCACGTACGTTGATACATGTGCGTGTTACGTATCAATATATAATATATATACCTATACGTAAAGAATATATATATATGTATACGTAATATACCTATATTATATATAAAAATCCGAGCTGAAGCTACGAAGCGTGAGAACGAACGGCTATCTATGGAGCGTTGCTATTGTGTTGCACTGAGTTCTTGTGTCGGACAAAGAAGCCTCAGGAGGGAGCTTATGGGCGTAGGATCATGAGGACATTTCTTTCTGACAGGTTGACTGGAGACTCGAGGTCGAATATCGTGGCAATAAGGATTTATCGATCCTTGGCACGGCCTCCAAAAGCGTCTCCATTTAAGAAGGACCACGTCACGGAGAGAAACATTTTTATTATCTGACAGATCAGGGAAATAAATGAAACGTCTTCAAAATGAACACCGCTGTCGAATAATAATCGGAGTTCGATTGCTTTGTGTCTTTCTTCCATTTCATTTAAATAAATGGCGCATTTACTGTCGGTCCTTTGGAATTCAAAACTCTGGACTTTTCTTGCTCAGCGATTTTCTTCTTATTTTTATATAATTTGATAAAGTTATTTTACAGAAATTGATGCATGTATAGTGGATTTAAAGTTTGTAAGTTGAATAAAGTATTTATGTAAAGAAATTAGGTTGGGATTAATTAAATATTTAAAATTTTAAATTCGATTTTTGGACTCTTTTGGTTGAACTATTTTTTTGTATAATTTGATGAGATAAAGTTGTAGATTGATACATATATGGTGTATTTAAAGTTTAAGGTCCGAAGAATGTACCTATATAAAGAAATTAAATTGTGATTTAATATTTAAACTTTAAAATATTTTGCGATTCAAAAGTTGATTTTGCAATAAAGTTATTGCAAGATAGTGTGGCATATAAAATTAAAAATCAGAAAATAATAATTGTATAAGGAAATTAAATTGTTCTCAATTAAATATTTTTAGGGTAAAATGAACAGTTTGCAACAAATGTTAGTTAAGTAAAGAAAATTCAGTTTCGAAACACAAAATATCTGACATAATTTCATGACATAAAAGTAACGCAAAATGGCGATTATAGTACATTAGTTTGAAGTGCAAAAACAAATATTTTATTGATATCAATAACAATATAGTGGATTTCTCTTTGAATAAACCGGTGGATCAATCGGTTTTCAATTAAAAACATTTCACTTCCACTCATATTTTTTTTCAAATAGTGAAACTATCGTTGAAAACGTGAAGTACTCAATTTTATTACAGCTTAAATTTGATATTGATATACTATAGGTTTTGTTGTATGATACTTTCCTGCCATAAAATCGTGTTTCATTTTATGTGTTTTGAAACGTGTCGCAAATTGCTTTAAATGGTAGCCATTTCATTTCTAATAAAACTATCGATAAACTTTTTATTAAGAGATCTTTTTTAAAGCAACAACTTCATAGTGATGTTATGTAAATTCTATTACGATACTTCTGAGTCATAAAGTAGTATTCGAATATCTTCACCAGATTTTACACTTTCAAGCGAAATTGAACAATTAAGTGAAGTGAAACGATTAACGTAAGTTATAATTATTTTCGCAATTCTAAACTAAAGAATGATGAGAACTAAACACAATAATTATAACAAAGTAAAAATATTTTCTTGCATCGTTATGTATTGGTATATTGTTCCAAAGTTAGCTTGTTGAAATAGTAAAATATTGTTTGGAATAATACGTTCAATTAGGAAGGATTAACAATAATAATTTCTCCGAATGGTAGACTGAAATGGAACAGTTATTGTGACGGATAAATTCACAGAATCGAATAATCTTCCATTACGAAACCTTCCATTCAATTCGATATGATGATACGTATAGTAATAATTATGTTTTGTTTTTTGTATGCGCCATCTTCCATTACTCAACAGTTTGAATAATAATAATTATAATTACTGTAATATTTAATTTCAACCGCGTTTATTACAAAATCTGTACAATAAATTGAATACTAACTGTTGAACATAATTCTTATATAAATATTATCAAATTCAAGAAAATTGTTATAAAAACAAATCTTATAAAATTGAAGAATTCTTATACAAGTCTTGTGAAATTAAAAAAAATTCTTGTACATCTATAAGTTTAAAGAAAATGTTTATACAAATTTTATTAGATGAAGCAGAATTGTTATACAAATTTTGTAAAATTGAAAAAAATTCTTATACGAATGTAGGAGAATTAAAAGAAATTTTTGGACAAAAATAAATTTAAGGAAAAGACTAACGCAAATGTTGGAAGATGAAAGAAAATTTTTGAGAAATTTTATAAAATTAAGGAGAGCGCTAACAAATATCTTATAAAATTAGAGAAAATTGTTGTAGTTTTTAAATCTTATAAAATTTATATTTGTAAAGCCGCCCAAAGTCCAACTATTGTTAATTACTTTTTCATGACAATTACGCTTTTTACGAACAAAATTTACAAGAAAGCGTACAACGAATTCATCAAAGAATTATATCAGAATCAATAAATAAATCTAATTCAATTAAAAAGATATAACTATTTCACTATCATATTAGCTTCAAACCCAAAATTCCAAATTTTTCTTGCAACTATATTCACTCTAGATTATAAATCAAATATGTGTAAACAAGATAAAATGAATAACTATTCTAGCTTGAAAAAGTCCATTCTTAATTGCACCAACAATAAATGCAACCATCTATCAGAACTACGTTACAAATTAATCAAATTAATTATAATACCAAGACACTTTGTAATTTAACCAAACTCCATAAGTAGATAGCATTCGACCTTAAAATCTTTAATAAATGAAGAAATAACAGTCCATTATTAATACATGAAGAAACAGCAATAAATTAGTAATAAATGAAGAAATATAAAGAAATTATTTCAAAAAATAAAGAAATAGCAATAAATTTTTTAAGAAATAATAAAATAGTAATATATTATTTTTAAAAATGAAGAAACAACTATAAATTTTGAACAAACGAAAGAATAACAATAAATTCTTAAAGAAAGGAAGAAACAGCAATAAATTAAAAAAAGAATAAAATAATATCAATAAATATCGAACAAATGAAGAAGCAATCATAAATTCTTCGAAAAACTACGAAATAATACTAAATTAAAAAAAATGAAAAACTAACAAAAAATTCATTAAGAAATGATGAAACAAGAATAAATTCTTTGAAAACGAAGAAATAACAATAAATTGCTTAAAAACAAAAAGATTTTAATAAATCTGTAACAAATGAAATGTTAATGAATTCTTTAAAAATGAAGGAAAATCAATAAAATTAAAAATCGTGAAGAAATAGTAATTTATAAATAAATGAAAGAATATAAATATATATTTCAAAAATGAAGAAACATTAGTTTATAAAAAAATGAAGTAATATCACCAAATCCTTAAAAAGTGAAGGAATATTAATAATTTCTCTAAAAATGAAGAAAGCTTAATAAAATTAAAAAAAAACGAAGAAACAGTAATTTATAAATAAACGAAAAAATATAAATATATTCTTGAACAATGAAGAAATATTAATTTATAAAGAAATATTACCAAATCCTTAAAAAACGAAGGAATATTAACAATTTCTCTAAAAATGAAGAAAAATCAATAAAATTAAAAAGAACGAAGAAACAGCAATTTATAAATAAACGAAAAAATATAAATATATACTTGAACAATGAAGAAATATTAATTTATAAAGAAATATCACCAAATCCTTAAAAAACGAAGGAATATTAATAATTTCTGTAAAATGAGAAAACTCAATAAAATTAAAAAGAACGAACAAACAGCAATTTATAAATAAACGAAAAAATATAAATATATACTTGAACAATGAAGAAATATTAATTTATAAAGAAATATTACCAAATCCTTAAAAAACGAAGGAATATTAACAATTTCTCTAAAAATGAAGAAAAATCAATAAAATTAAAAAGAACGAAGAAACAGCAATTTATAAATAAACGAAAAAATATAAATATATACTTGAACAATGAAGAAATATTAATTTATAAAGAAATATCACCAAATCCTTAAAAAACGAAGGAATATTAACAATTTCTCTAAAAATGAGAAAACTTAATAAAATTAAAAAGAACAAAGTAACAGCAATTTATAAATAAACGAAAAAATATAAATATATACTTGAACAATGAAGAAATATTAATTTATAAAGAAATATCACTAAATCCTTAAAAAACGAAGAAACAGTAATAAGCATTTCTCTCCATGACAATATCTTTCTCCTGAGGAACGTTTCAGAGAGTCCGTTTACTAATAATTGCAAAAGCGGGGTTTTCTGTCGTTTCGGGAGAGGAGCTCGATATTATTCAGGATCAGTAAGAGTTTGTGGTGCTCGACGTGTATTCTGAGCGTGTTTAGTGTGTAGTGGAGACAGTAGTGTACCTGGTTGCCGTCGTAGGTCCAGGATCCGAACTTCATGTCACAGTGTTGGTCGTCAAAGGGGAACCAAGTGATGTCTATCTTGCAAGTGCTCTTGAAGATGCCCGGAGGAACGTACAGGCAACTGCCGTTATGCGTGACCACCACGTTTGTTTGGTACGTTCCGTCGAAACCCTCATCCGCACTAATGTGTTTATATCACATCATTAATTCTCCTAATTAACCTTATTCGCGGCATTATTATTTCGCTCTAATAGTCACGGTTCACCGATCGTTCTTTCAATATTCCGATATTTGATTTTAGCTTTTATCCCGATTTCACGCATCCCTACTTTCTCTATTTTTTCAAATATTTTACGAGATGTTATTTTAATTTTTTACGACATACGCGAGTAAACAAAAGAATTTTTTAATTTTTTTAATAATATTCAAGAACGGAGTCATTTTAATTCTTTATTTACCGGGATATCTTAATTTGCACGATTAACCGGGTAGTTTAATTTTTGTGTGATATTCGCTATTAACCGAGATACTACAATTTTAGTTATTTTATACCGCTCGTAATTTATCGAAGTAATCTTAATTTTTATGCGATATTTGCAAGTAACCGAGGGAATTTTAGATTTATTTCTTTTAAAGTTTGTAATTAACCGAGATATCTATTTTTATAACATTCGCGATTAATCGAGGTATTTTTCTGTCTTGGAAAAATTAAGATTTGTAAAAGATTTTGAAGTCTGTTTCATTAGCAAAGAAAAGAGAGTTACAACAAATTGAATATTGTTACAGATTCTTTAAATTTTTGTTTATAATATTCTCGATTAACCGCTCATATTACAATTTTAATATTTCTATTTTGACAAAGTTATTTTGGTTTTTGTAAATTTTAATGTTTAAGACGGTTTATTTTGTTGGTGGAGAAAATGTTCAATTATTTACGGTTGCAACAATTTCTATATAAATTACTATCTTTTTAATTTTTCGATATTTGTATTCTGGCAAGATCAAATCGACTTACAAAATTTGATTCAAAGAATTTCAATATTTGTTCTATTTTTTACTAATAAAACAAAATTTATCAAATAACAATTCTTTACGTTTGCAATCCTAATTGTTTATTATTATAATAAGCTCAACTTGTATTTATTCCTTTGTAAGTTTCACTTCATGTTCCGACAACATCGAGTTAACCATAAAATTCAATTTTAAGAAATAAGAAAAAAGCAGAAGAAAGAAATGGATAATAGATATTTGAAGTGGTAAGAATGAATACTTTTAAATTCCTTTACAATATTTGCGACGATTGACGTTTCAATGGATAAGATCAATTTTGGTTGAAAGAAGTGTTAAAAGAATATCGAATCGTTGAATTCTATTCCGAGACGTCTGTCGTTGAAATACATTTAGCTTTTCGACTTTGTTCGCTCTGTGAAACGATTTTAACTGGCAGCCTTTGGCAATGCAAAAGGAAATTAAAGTACGTTCTGTGCTCGTTCAAGCCTAGAGTGTAATCTAAAGGTTCGTACATCAGACTTATGCAAACGATGAGCCGTCAAAGAGGCTCTCCAAATTAATTTAATTATAATCAGCCCTGTATCAGTTTCAATGTAAATTGTTCACGAAAAGGAGACCTCCGACGTGACAAGGCTTATCAAAGTACAGTAAGAAATTTTAGCTGTTTGAATAAAATGAGAGAAATAAAAAATACGTGTTAACGAAATCAATAGAGAAACGCTAATTCAATGTTTTTTAATTACAAAGCAAAGAAAAAGCTTTATTTTACGTTTGAATCACTGAAGGTCCATAATAAAATAATAAATCGATAATAAAACGAAAGATAAAATTTTTATTTTTCAATTATAAAGCAAAGAGAAAGCTTGCGAGTTTACTTTACGTTTCATTTGTTGAATCAGTGAGCGTGTATAATAAAGTAATTATAAATCAATAATGACCAACAAATTCAAGATTCATATTTCTCAAATACGAAACAAAGAGAAATTTTACGAATTTATTTTACATTTTATTTGTTTAATCGTCGAATGTCCATAATAAAATAATTGTAAATCAATAATAAAATACAAATTTAAGATTCATGTATTTGAAAAATGAAACAAAGAGAAATTTTACGAATTTATTTTACATTTTATTTGTTTAATCATTGAACGTCCATAATAAAGTAATTGTAAATCAATAATAAAATACAAATTTAAGATTCATGTATTTGAAAAATGAAACAAAAAGAAATTATACGAATTTATTTTACATTTTATTTGTTTAATCATTGAACGTCCATAATAAAGTAATTGTAAATCAATAATAAAATACAAATTTAAGATTCATGTATTTAAAAAACGAAACAAAGAGGAATTTTACGAATTTATTTTACATTTTATTTGTTTAATCATTGAACGTCCACAATAAAATAATTGTAAATCAATAAAAAAATACAAATTTAAGATTCATGTATTTAAAAAACGAAACAAAAAGAAATTATACGAATTTATTTTACATTTTATTTGTTTAATCGTCGAATGTCTATAATAAAATAATTGTAAATCAATAATAAAATACAAATTTAAGATTCATGTATTTGAAAAACGAAACAAAGAGAAATTTTACGAATTTATTTTATATTTTATTTGTTTATTCTCTGAACACCTCCAATAAATTAATTATAAAATACAATTTCAGGATTCATATTACTACAAAGCCAAAAATACGTAGCAAGTTCATTTAGAATTTATGTTTTTAATAAATGATTGTCTCTAAAAAGATATTTTAGTACTATGCAAAAAGTTTGAAAATGACACAGAAACTTTCTTTGTTATTAATATGTTACATTCAAAATTTATGTTCACCCAATTTTAAAGTTTGGAAATGTGAGGATTTAGAAGTCTAGACATTCTTCAATTTTGGGATTAAAAAGTTGGGAAATGTGGAAAATTGGGTGCTTAGAAATATGGGGATTTAGTAAGTTGGGCACATAGAATTTTGGAAACGTAGAAATTTGGAAATTTAGAAATTTAGAAATTGTGGATTCAGAAATTTGGAAATTTAGAAATAGAGAAATTATGAATTCAGTAATTTAGAAATTTAGAAATTGTGGATTCAGACGTTTGGAAATTTAGAAATATAGAAATTATGAATTCAGAAACTCAGAAACTCAGAAACTCAGAAACTCAGAAACTCAGAAATTCAAAAATTCAGATATTTGAAAATTGGGCAACTAGAAAATTCAAAAATCCATAAAACTGAAAATTTCGAGAAAAAATTTGAGAACAGAAAATTTAAAGATTTTGATACATTAAAAATTTAGAATTTTTACTCTTCTTTCAACACTTAAATAAAACTCAAAAAATGTGTAACACGAAATATCAGACTTCCTTCTTTAATTACTCTATTACCCAAAGAAAATATTTCACCGTGATCAAAGAAGAAGAAGAAGTAAATTTTATCGATAACCTATTCATGAAATCAAAATTTCATATTCGTCAATAACAAAGAAAGGTACGAAATTAATTCTACGTTTCATTTCACAAAAGATTTTCAGGCTGAAAGAAGCTTAACACGTTGCTCGACAGTATATCACGCGAAACGCGAAGAAAAAGGATGTGTCATGATATGCATGCTACTCGTGAGAGCTTCAGAACATCAAAATACTCTAGTCTTTTTATTTTGCACCATCTGTGCATCTCGCAAGAGTAACTCCGGCATTATGCCGGCTACGATGCTTTCTCTCGGAAAGAATGAAAAAAGGCATAAGGCGAGAAAATATTCGAACTCGATGTTGTCTGTGCAAGAAGAACAGAAGAGTTTTCATCGACTTTCATCGGGACAAGGAGATTTTATCGTAAGTATTTATAAAATGTTATTTCCTATCGAAGATCTTTGTATTAAATTTTTTTTCGCTACTTCAAAAGAATATATATTACGATTCTCGAGGAGAAAATTATGAAAATATATTTACTGTTATTTGGTAGAAATTTCGTATATTATTTGGTACAACTTTTTAGTATAACTTCAACATATTTTTTGGTATAAATTTTTAGTATAGCTTCAGTATAACTTATTTTAACAGTTAGTTATTAATTATATTTATTATATAATATTTATAGATTATTTTTATTTAGGAATGTTTTATACTACATTTAAATAGTAATGATATATAACATTTATGTATTATGAATATTTTTTATTCCTTTATTACATGTATTGCTAAAGCTTTGAAGTTCATATTTCATATTCAAGTTCAAAGTAAACATTTCTTCATTTCTGAACAATTTTCATCGTTCTGTTATTATATTTGCCTATTTCTCCTGTTATTACATTGAAATTCTTTACTTCGCATAGAGAAAGAAATAATAAAAATATATTTATGTAAAATATTGTAGTTATACGTCAATTCAAAATTTTTGAACGATGTTGCAACATTTTATAATTTTTTATTATGTTTAAATTTTTCTTCTTCAGAAAGGATAATAAGAATATAAACATTTATTTTATTATTGCTGTTTAAAGCATTCTTTATTTCAAGGAAATTCACGTCTTATTTCAAAAATTGCAAAAATATGATACATTCTTTTGGTCAATAATGTCTTCACAGATTAATTTAGAATTTCTCTTACGATTAATTTCTCTTAAGAAGAAAAAATGGTAACAATGTGCCTAATTGATCTTCGTACAAAACAATGCATTTATACATCAATTTAGAATTTTTACTTCAAACCATACTCTTCTTTGTATTTCTCTACATGTTTTACTAAAATTTTTTATTTCTACATTTAAAGAAGAAAATTGTATAAATATCTCTAATTATAATTTTTATAAAATAATATAATTACAGGACAATACAGAATCTTTACCTAACACTACATTTTTGTTTATAATCTTTTCCACACTCGTGAAAATTTTACTTCTCCTCTTAGAAACCCAATTCAATTTAGAATCGCTATCGGATATACTTTTATTTTCTATTACATTTTCGTTTTACAGGATTTTGAATTGGAATTTTTTTCATAGACAAAAAATAGAATATATATATTTTTTCATGGAACATATACATTTATATGTCAATTAAAGATTTCCATTGTGTTGAATATGTTTTATGTTTCATTGCGTTTTTTATTGTTCGTTATATTGAAGAATTTTAAATTAAAACTTTTGTTTTAAAAGCAAAACGATGTT